AGCAAGAAGGCGGAAGCTTTCCCAGAAGCCCTACCCAGCTGCCTAACTTCTGCTTACATCTCACTGACCAGAGTTGGATTACAGGCCACCTCTAGCTGGAAGGCAGCTTAGAGAAAGGAGGGCCATTTTAATTTATTAACTATACAGCTGTTTTCATCCAGATCACCTTATTTTTTTTTAAACTAAAAGTAGAATGTAGCAAATTCTCTAAGACATTAATTGGTCTATTCTTAGGCATATTTGTGACCTAACCATATGATTCTTCTACTTAATTTTGCATATTAAGAAAAATCCCTGGTGTTTAGCATGATATTGTAGGCCATTTACAGTGTGGTCCTGGCTCCTGTCCTGACTCAGTTGCCCCCCAGACCAGTCACTTAAGCCATGGGTTTTTCAATATTGTATGAATGCCTTTCACCAAATACTCCCTCCTGTCCAACCTCCATTTTTGTATTTTGCTGTTCCTTCAGCCAGGAATGCTGGAGCTCTAGAACTGTGCAGTGGTTGATCATTACTGTCTGGAAGAAGTGTTCAGTTTTTCCCTATCATCTTTCAAAGGAATTAGTTAGCATTTAACTATCAAGAAGAGAAGGTGCAGAGGCAGATGGCTTGTTTGGTTAAGTTGAAACGTGTTAAAAGCACGCAGTAGCACACAGGTGCCTTGCCCCAGTGGCTAAGGCATCTCTGAAAGAGGACGTCATTCTGTTCCTCAAATGTGTACCTGTTTGTTTATGGGTTTTAGTAACTTTTCATTTGCAGTAATTTTTTCTATGGTTAAAAAAAGAGTTTGTAAACCACTCGCTTAAAATATCTAGAGGAAAGGTTATGAGCTTGGCCTGGGGTGTGGGTGTTTTGGGGATTTGGGGATAGATGATGGTTTTATTAGCCATGTGACTTTGAGGAAGGACACATCTCTGAGCTTTAATTTCCTGTTGAGTAAATTAGGGTAATAATATAACCTTCAGGGTTTTGTGAGTCTTGCAGTTAATGTTGTTACAGAACCACAGGGTAGCGTCCTCATTGCACTGAGTCAACAAACCTGACTCTTGTCAATCTTTGTCGAATCCTGGTGATCATGTGTTGATTGGGCCAGTACAGACGTTGATGGTAGTGATTATTTATTGCCGATCAAGAGCAAAACTATATGCTTTTTCTTTTCTTCCTTCTTGCACATGTTTTTATCGTATGTTCTTTGCACTTGCACGCATTCTGTGTTCATTGAGTTCCTGACGTCTTAGGAGAATCTCGGGAGTGGAGTATGCCTTTGGAACCTCTGATTGCTCACAGAACTTCCCAGTGAACCCATCAGCATCAAATTTTGTTGCAAAGTGTACCCCTCTGTGACTAAGAAAGTTAGCGTGCTATATAAAGTTGTTAGACATGAACCAGTTCAATGGGCTGGGGCAGAGTGGGCAGGACACCTGTGGAAAATAACTTTGTTTTTGAGAATGCAGTTCTTTATTGCGGTATTTATCAAATGAACCCGCTGATTGAGGCCACTTTTAGGCCATGACATGTAAAACTATATCTTAGTGTGGCAGACATATTGGAGCAGAGGCTTCATACCCTTGAGATAAAAGGTCCAAAGCAGCATGTTTTCTGCTGCCTGAGATCTCCATTCTCTGTCAGGAGACTTTTTGCCAACTCTCAGCATCCAGCTGGGTTTAGCAGGATACTCAGTCACCTGCATTCTGCTATACTCCTGCAATTTACCTCTTGCTGGCATGAAATTAGGTGTTGAGAAGAGGTCAAAGTAAAACTTGAATCTGTCTCATATTCCATCTAGGTTTTGTTACACGGTAATCGAGTGTTTTGGTGTTTATTGGAAGCTTCCCATATTTCATATTGACCTCAGAAACCAGGCTCCACTTTCAAAGACAAAAGCTAGCAGGCTGTACTAGGTCTTAGGTGGCTTGCCTGTCTCTAAAATGGGCAGCTGGATTCAATCCCCTTAGAAAGTTAATAAAAGAAGCATATTGGTACACTTAACGGAATTCTGACAGCAAACTCATCACCCAGTGCTTACTTTTTATTAACAGAAACGATGTTAATGGATATCATTTATTGAGTCTCTGTTACAAGTGCAGGATTTTATAAAATCTGTCACCTCTTCCTGTTGGCCCATCCTAACCACCTAAGTGGTCCCCAGTCACCTTTTTCTCTTTTATTTTCCACATACCACTTACCTCTGCCTGGCTTTCTATTGAATTTTTCCTGTTGCCCATTCCCTCCACATGTAAGCTCCATGAGCACAGAACCATGTCTCGTTTACCCTTGAACCCTCAGATCTAAGGGTAGAATGTAGCCTGAGGCTCCTGGCATGTGCTGAGTGAACGTGGCATGGTGTCGTACTAGGCGCTTTATCCCTAGCCCGGGGTCTCCCTTCGTCATCACAGCCACTTCTAGGCCCAGGCCTCCTCAACTACTGCAGTAGCTTCCCAGAATCTGCCTACGTTCAGGCTGCCTCCCAAACCATCTTCCACCCAGCAGCCGGTAAATAGAATCCTGATGCTTCTTTCAAGTCTTCAGTGCTCCTCATTGCATTTAGAATGAGATCCCAACTCTATCTTGACCTGTCAGATCTTAGGTGATCTGGTGCTGGCCACTTGGAGTCTTGTCCAGCGCAGGGTCCCTCCCCTTGGTTATCATGATCTAAGTACAGTGACCACCTTGATGATTCTCAAACAGGCCAACTCCCTTCCTACATGTGCACTTTTGGACATGCTGTGTCCTCTGACACGGAGGACCCCCCCCGATTGTTTGTGTGAATGGCTAACTCTTGTTTCTCCTTCAGGTTTTAGGTTCTTTAGAGGGGTTTTCCGTTGATTAACCTAAACTACATTACTCATTTGGGTATTATATTTTTTTCCTTTATAGCACCTATCACAGTTTGTAACGATATTATAACAATGTGTAGAAAATCTTTTTTTTTTTTGAAGCAGTAGAATTGCCCCCTGGGGAAACACCTGTTTTGTTGCCTGGAGAAGCTGTTTGAGGTGGGATGAGCCCCACAGGGGACATGCTCATGGAAAGATGGGCATTGGAATGCAGCCCTGTGCTGGCCTTCCCCTTGCTTAGACGTCCTGGATCACGTGGGCCAGCAGAACCGTCCTGGAGCAGTGTTTCCCAGGTCCCACGTCCTCACCCCACTCTCCCACCATGTGCTCCTCTTGCTGCTGTTTGCTTAATCATTTTCTAAATAATCAACTCAATTTTATACTATTATAGTATCTGAAATATATAATATTCATATTATTATAATATCTGAAGTCACGTTTGACTGGTTGGTTTTCTAACTTGAAATTAAAACATAACTTTTAAAAAATAACGTTCTTGGGCCGGCCCAGTGGCGCACTGCTACAGTGCGCCGCTTGGGAGCGTGGCGGTGCTCTCGCCGAGGGTTCGGATCCCACATACAGACCGGCCACTCACTGGCTGAGCGAGGTGCGGGAGCAACACTGAGGGTTGCGATCCCGTTGCCGGTCCCGGTCCGGTGCGGGCGCGACACTGAGGGTTGCGATCCGTTGCCGGTCACGAAAAAAGACAAAAAGGAAAAAAATAAATAACGTTCTTCGGTATATCACCTAAACTCATTGTCACCCTCCTCTGGTCCTGATGTCACCCTTTGTGAGACAGAGCTCTGCCAGGGAGGCTGTGTGGCAGAGAGGATGGGGGGTGCGGGCCAGCACTTACCCCAGGGAAGGCAGCAGAAGCCCGGAGCCCGGGTGCCCTCCTTCAGCAGGCAGCCGAGTTCCTGAGGGCTGGTACGCTGTACACTCTTTTTAGAGCTCTGCATAATTTTATTCAGATACCATTATGCACCTCTGGTTAATCAAATATTCCTGCACAGAAGTCAGACTGGACATGCTTAGTGAGCACTTTTTAAAATCATTGCTCTTCTGTTGTTTGGGAAGCAGATCTCAATGAATTTCAGCATTGACTCTCCTAGCTCTCATGAATATCTGCTAGTTATTGTTGCCGTTAGACAGGAATGAGATGCA